GTACTTCCATGTATCTATTAGAATGGCTAAGATTAAATATACCGAAAATACCAAGTGCTGGCGAGGATGTGCAACAGCTGGAACTCTCATATACTGCTGTTGGGAATGTATTAATAGAATAGTACAGCCACTCTGGAAAAGAGTTGGGCAGTTTCTTCCAACGTTAAACAGACACTTACCATATGACCTAGTAATCCCACTCCTAGGTATTTAAACCCTGGGGAAATGAAAACTTATGTTCACACAAAAATTTGTACACAAATATTTATAGCAACTTTATTTACAATCACCAAAATTGGAAAGAACTCAAATGCCTTTCAACTGGTAAATGGATAAGCAAACTAGGGAACATCCATACAACGGAAGGCTACTCAGCCATAAAAAGGAATGAGCTATTGATACCCACATCTTATATGAATGTCATATACACTGAGTGAAAGAAGCTAGTCTCAGGAGGTTACATACTCTATAATTCCATTTACATGACATTTCAAAAACTCAAAATGATAGTGACTGGGAACAAATTGATAGGTGTCAGGGATCAGAGGTGAGGAAAGGCGTGATTACAACAGATACAAGAAGGAATTTTAAGGGTATGATAGAACCGTTGTGTATCTTGATTTTGGTGGGGGTAACATGGATCTATACATACGTTAAAATTCATAGAAAGAAGTTTTTAAAGATTGACATATATGTATAAACAGAAAAAAGAATGAAAGGACACACATGAAAATACTAACAGTGTGTTATTTCTATGTAGTTGAATAAAGGTGATTCTCCACTTTTCATTATGTAATATTCCTATTTTTAAAAATAGTAAACATATGTTTCTTTTGTAAAGAGATTTTATATTGATAGGTAACATACATATTTATTTACATATGTAGATATATTTTGCTATAGGAAAACTTGAGTGACACCTGGCATTATGCCATATTGGTTCAGCCTCCTGGGGGTAAAGAGGCTTCACCGAATTACTGGAAAAACATCTTTCAGATAAGATGCTTCTTTTGCTTATGAAAGAACTGGCGGTGCTGTCACCTCTCCGTAAATCTTGTGCTTTGTCAGGGACCTTACTGCAAAGTGTCCTGGCCTTCTGCTGCGCCATTAGGGTTGCCATTAGCATCCATTAACCAACAACTTTTGTTTCTTGATACACAGCCAGAATTCCTTCTGAAACGAAAAAGCACAGGAATGATGGTGCGGTCATAGACTAAATATCTGTGTCCCTTTCTCATCAATTCTAGCTTGTCTTACAAACGGACTGGGACTCGCTTCAAGTATTAAGTATCAGGAAGCTGCCAGGGCCTCAATGGCACTTGGCTTATTTGATTTTCTTTTACAAAAGTAACCAAAGTTGTGTTAGGTGAACTTTTAAAACTGTTTTATCCAACGATCCAGAGAGAAGGACTGAAACTAAGTGCATTTGGCCTCCTTGGTCATTATTTGCAGTATCCATGACAGAAGTCTGAGATTCTGGTAGCAAGGTTGGCCCCGAGAAGCAGGCCCCTGCTAGAACACGCAGTCAACACTTCCAACCCCTCTTTTGGGGGTCTCAGCCTCCTTCATCTATTCCTCCCGTGACTACAGCAGGAAGTGAAGCCACAGGCATCCTATTGGCTGGTGCTATTTCTCAAAAGCCACAGCTATTATCAGACATGCTTCAGTTTGGCCGTTTGGTAGAGCGACTTGTCTGCCTTTGATAACTACACTGTCCAGGACAAGGATATTACGAAAGGCTATGACAGGCATTTATAATTTCTTGAAGGTTTGACCTGACTCCCATTAATAGTTCTGGAACTCAAAACAAAACCAAATAATTCTATATATTTCCACAGCTACCCAAATGCATATGTCCACACATAGAAAATGCTCTGGAAGGATACATACCAGTTTGGTAAAAACAGGTTTAAGAGTGGAAGTGAGGGCCGGGCGCGGTGGCTCACGCCTGTAATCCTAGCACTCTGGGAGGCCGAGGCGGGTGGATTGTTTGAGCTCAGGAGTTCGAGACCAGCCTGG